GGATGGGGAAGCCCAGTTCAATGGATGCAAAATATAAGGATGACTTATTTCGGAAGTACGTGCAGTTCCATGAAGGCAAAGTGGACACCACCCCCAGCAAGCAGCGGCCTGGCAGTGATGAGTCCCTGCGGGTGGCAGCCTCGACCCTGCTCAGCCTGCACAAGGTGGATCCCTTTTATCGATTCCGGCTGATCCAGTTCTATGAGGTGGTGGAGAGCTCTCTGCGCTCACTGAGCTCCTCCAGTCTGCGGGCTCTGCACTGTGCCTTCAGTGTGCTCGAAACGGTGGGTGTCAACCTTTTCCTCTACCCGTGGAAGAAGGAATTCAGAAGCATCAAGGTAAGGTCTAGGGACGGGCTCTCCACACTGGTCTCCCTTCTCCCTTCTTGCCCCTTCCAGTCCATCTTGAGAGGGTTTGTGCCCATCTAATCACATCCTTCCTCTGCTCGCGGGCCCCCCCAGGTTCTCCACTGCCTTTGAGATAACAACCAGAACTGCCCCTATGGCTCCCCACCTGGCCCCTCTGCCTGGTGTCATCTCTTAACTGGCTCCCCACCCCTGGCAGCTCACATCTGAAACTGAGGTTGGAAAGGTGGGCAGTACCCGGTTGTGCAGGGCCTTGGAGCCCAGGGCAGAGGGCTGGAATTTATTCTAAGGGGGCTGGGAAGCAGGCAGTGCCAGGATCAGGTTTACATTGGAAAAGAATCCTCCTGGTTGCTGTACGGGAGAGAGATTGTAGAGGGGCAAGAGTCAGCCGGGGAGACCGTTAGGAGGCTGCTGCAGGTGTCCGCGCAAGCGGAGGAAAGCAGAGAGCGGGGAGGAGGATGAACTCGAGACAGAATTCTGAATCATTCCAAAGGCAGTGATGGCTCAGGAGAGTTTCCACCAAGTCAGGCTAAGTCTAACGTATGCTTCAAACCTTTGTAGAAATGCCAGAAAGGAATATTTTCATTGCTCATGGGTGTTGTGCCTGCTCTTCCTCAAGGAGCAGAGCCGCTGCACCCCACGTAGAAAGCTAGTGGCTTTGTTCCCTACGCTGGAAAAAGGAGCGCTGCGTCATTTCCCTCAGACCCGTGCGCCGAGCTGTTGGGAAGCATTAGCCTCTGCCTTCAGCAGTGAGACACTGCCGTGGAGATCACTCCCCCTTCCTCTCCCTGTGTGTTCCGGTTCAGACTTGATGGGATACGCTCTGATGCAGGCTCCGTTCGTTGTGTGCCTCAGAGAGAAACACCCACCTCTCTTTTTCTACCCCGCTTCCTTCCCCTAGACCTACACGGGCCCCTTTGTTTATTACGTCAAGTCCACATTACTGGAAGAGGACATCCGAGCCATCCTGAATTACATGGGCTACGTGCCCGAGTTGGGGACTGCGTACAAGCTCAAAGAGCTGGTAGAGACCCTCCAAGTGAAGATGGTCTCCTTTGAACTCTTTCTGGCCAAGGTGGAGTGTGAACAGATGCTGGAAATCCACTCCCAAGTCAAGGACAAAGGCTACTCTGAGCTGGACGTGGTGAGCGAGCGCAAGAGCAGCGCGGAGGACGTGCGAGGCTGCTCAGATGCCCTGCGGCGGCGGGCCGAGGGCCGGGAGCACCTGACAACCTCCATGGCCCGCGTGGTGCTCCAGAAGTCGGCCAGCGAGCGGGCAGCCAAGGACTACTACAAGCCCCGTGTGACCAAGCCCTCAAGGTCGGTGGACACCTATGACAATTACTGGGAGAGCCGGAAGCCGCCCCTGAAGACCTCGTTGAGCCTGCGGAAGGAGCCTGTGGCAGCAGACTTGGGGGACGACCTCAAGGACGAGATCATCCGCCCGTCCCCCTCGCTCCTGACTATGTCCAGCTCCCCCCACGGCAGCCCGGATGACCTGCCGTCCCCCTCCCCCAACAATGGCCTTGGCTTGCTGCGTGGCACGTACTTCTCTGCTCAGGAGGATGTGGATCTGTACACAGACTCGGAACCCAGGGCCACGTACCGGAGGCAGGATGCCCTGCGGCCAGATGTCTGGCTGGTCAGAAACGACGCCCACCCCATCTACCACAAGCGCTCGCCCCCCGCCAAAGAGTCCGCCCTCTCCAAGTGCCAAAACTGCGGTCTGTCCTGCAGCTCCTCCCTCTGCCAGCGCTGCGACAGCCTGCTCGCCTGCTCCCCGGCCTCCAAGCCCGGCGGCTTCCCCAGCAAGGCCTCCGCCCACGACAGCCTGGCCCACGGGTCATCTCTGCGGGAGAAGTATGCAGGCCAGACGCAGGGCCTCGACCGGCCGCCGCACCTCCACTCGAAATCCAAGCCCTCCTCTGCAGCCGCCACCCGCTGTGGCTTCTGTGACCGCCCCGGGGCCGCCAACACCTGCACCCAATGTTCGAAAGCCTCCTGCGACGCCTGCCTCAGCACCTACCATTACGACCCCTGCTGCAAAAAGAGTGAGCTGCACAAGTTCATGCCCAACAACCAGCTGAACTACAAGTCCGCCCAGTTCTCCCATCTCGTGTACAGATAGACTCGACCTTGCACCTCCCTGCTACAAGGGCTACACCACTGACCTTTCTGGTTTCATGGGGAAGAAACGTTAACACGTTGATCCCAGAAGCAGAGGCCTGCACTTGACCACGTCGTTGTGGGGGGGGATCGTGTGGCCTGCTGCCCCACGTGGGAGTTTCCGTATCGACTCAGATATGTCAGCTGATGGCTGCTTCGCCACCTGGCAAGAGAGACGGGTGGCACTTGCATTCAGATTCATTTTTGCTATCACTCCCTGTTCCATTCTTTTGTTTTTGTCTCTCAAAGAGGATTTCTATCTCTGGGACTCTTGCCATGCCGACTGCTCCCATGGCAAAGCCAACTTGGACTGGGAAGGGCCTTCCAGGTCCCCTCCGAACGCCCACCTGGAGTGGTGAGCTAGAGGCCTGTTGGCTTGTGAAATGAGCCCTCCTGCCACACCGGGCCTCATCCACTGGCTCATCCCTCCACAACCCTTTCCCAAACACGAGGATCCCCGGCGGCAGCCCCCCACCCAACTTCGCTGCCTCTCCACGTATCGAGGGTGACCCCAGTCCAGGATTCGCTTAATGTCATCCTGTTGCCTCCACAGCTCAGTTCAGCCTTGGGGTTTGTGAAGTTGGCTCTAGCTCTCTGAAGGGTGGACCTTCCACACTGGGACTGACTTTTCCCCCCTTTCTGTTGTTTGCACATGCCTCTCTTACTCTACTGTAAATAGATATTTTTGAGATTTATTTTTAAATAAATATTCAACTTGCTGTGTGTTTCAAAGTGGTTAAAACATTAACGATGTAGCTATTTATAAAAATGCCCCGGGTTCTTTAGTCTTCCAAGGGAGGGGCTCGTGCCCTTCCATCTTGTATCCTCCACTCGCCACAGCCCGAGGGTAGAGTGGAGATTGTAGGGGCAGAGGAGGAACAGAGACGATGTCCCCTGAGTTGGTGGAGAGCCACTGTCTTCCCTACAATAAATTTCTAACACCTACCTCCAGTGTGCACTTAGGGGGTTAGTCTGGGCCGAGAGGTCTGTGCGCCTGCAGATTGTGACAACCTAGTGACCATTCAGGAACCTCACCCTGTGGATCTCCGGCCTGGTCTTTGCCGCTTGCTGAGTGTGAACCTTGCACTCCAAACTTCTTGAGTCTCAATTCAGAAGGAAAATCGTTTGGGATTCCCACCACCCCTCTATCTCAGTCCTCTTCTCTTCACCTGTTTCCAGGATTCCTCTGCAACATTTGTGACCTTTTTGCACTAAAAGTGGGCAGGAGCTGGCGTGCGCCCATCAGACAGATGTGTCCTGAGGTTCTTAGCCGAGCCTCAGCGCTCCTAAACCCGAAGGCCTCTTAAACTCCTAATGTGAATTGCTGACCCCGGATTTCCTTTTGGGGTGCAGAGCAGGAGTGGGGCAAGAATTTGAAAATAAAACTGCTTCCTTGTGAACTAACAGTATATTTTAGCCATAAGTGTTTGTGATGTACAGAACGTTGTAGGAATTTACATGCAGTGCGTTTTCTGATAGAAGGAGGTATTCAGCTCTTGAGCAGATTTAAATCTGGCTGAATCCTGAGGCCACTGTGAATTTGCTGATGTTCTTCCAACTTAGTTGCGTGACTTTAAGGTTTTCAAAATCTTCTATGGCTCTTTTTCTATATATCTAGTAGATCACGTGTAGATATTCAATGTGTATATAAAGCTGAATTTCAACCAACTTTATTACTAAGACCCACCCATTCTGGGGCATTCATCTCTGGTGTTCTTCCTTTTCACGTTTCAGAAGTGTCCGTGCCTGTCCCAGTCCTGAGTTTTCTAGTTTTCCATTTCCAGACTGCTCTAGCACTACACTAACTCTTTTAACCAACCGTGATGCCACGTAACTTACACAGCAGACGAAAGTAGGAATAACTAACTTGTCCTGGAAGAGAAAGGCCAGTGTGTGTATCATCACGGAAATACTGTGTTCGTGGACTGGAATAGGAAATGCTGTGACCATGCTCCTCCTCGTTGTGTATCTTATTGTATGAGGTTGCTGTGACTGAGATAAATACACGCTAACTTAAAAAAGCAGATGTTTTGCATTTGATTTCTACCAAGAGTTGAAATGTTGAGAGATGATTTAAAAAAATAAATAAAGTGTCTTCCATTGTTAAATGAAGTGTTTGGGGTTTTATGTCCCTCCTCCCTGCTGCTTTGAAGTTTGGGTTGCTTGGGGTTTTTTGTTTTTAAATTTAACTTCAAGAAAATTTATTTATTTATTTATTTATTTATGGCTGTGTTGGGTCTTCGTTGCTGTGCGTGGGCTTTCTTTAGTTGCGGTGAGTGAGGGCTACTCTTTGTCGCAGTGCGCAGGCTTCTTGTTGCGGTGGCTTTTTTTGTTGCAGAGCGTGGGCTCTAGAGTGCAGGCTCAGTAGTTGTGGCACACGGGCCTAGCTGCTCTGTGGCATGTGGGATCTTCCTGGACCAAGGCTTGAACCCGTGTCCCCTGCATTCTTAACCAGGCAGGTGGATTCTTAACCACTGCGCCACCAGGGAAGTCTGGTTGCTTGGGTTTTTCGGTGTTTTTTTGTTTGTTTTTGTTTTTTTTGCTCAAGCCATGTTTTAGTTCTTTAGTGACAGGACTCACATTTTTTCCTCCATTAAACTGACAAATAATAACAGCCAGCATTTGAATACTTATACTGTGAGCCAGGCATTTTATACGCTGAGACTTTACGTTCGTGATCTCATATAATTGTCTCAATCCTCCTAGAAGATAACATAAATCCTGTTATGATCCCCATCTTACCAACGGGGAAACCAAGGTGTTCAGAGTTCAGCCGTGTTTCCTAGAAGTGAGACTGCAGACTCCAGGAGAAGTGATTGTTGGTGGTGACCTGACAGGAATTAAATAACATTGAAGGGCGTTGTGAAAAAAATTAATCCCGTTTAAAATTTTTTTGATCCGTTTAAATGCCCTAAGGAGGATTCTGGTCAGTGTAATGCGAGTTTGTCTTTAACAAGAGAAAGCAGGAGTCAGGCTGAGAACCTCTGGCAGAATCTTAGGTTTTCAGTTACCTTCTATTTAGGGCAGGCCATAATGGGGGATTACTTTAAAAATCAATTTAAGGTGTTTTTAAAAATGAAGTTTCCTGAAACTAATATAACATTGTAAATCAACTCTACTTCAATAAAAATAAATAAAAAATAAATCATGGTTGACTTAAAAGCAGAATGTATTGCAAAAATTTTAAGAGTGGTATAAGCGCAGCTGTGGTTTGGGACATCCTGTCTTTATGCATTGATGGGGTGTCTGTGCCACCATGCTGACCACTCTGCAGGGTTGGACCCCACAAAGCCACTCAGCTGTTGGGGAAGAGACTGAACGGTTTTCTCCATCTCATTCACTGGCTGAGCAAATATCCAGGCCTTGGACCAGACCAAGGCCCAGGTACTGGGTTTGGTTTTAGTGACAGCATAGGAAATGGCACTGCCATCCTGGCTACCAGGAACAGCAGCTTCCTAGAGATGAACACCCAGCCTGGGAGAGCAAAGGAAGCCAGACACTCACTCCTGTATCTAAAGCGGAGCAGAGACTCTGAGCAGGTTGCTTAATTCGTATATGTAAATGACAAGCATAAACATCCTCAGGCCCACCAGTTGTACAAGATTAACATTAGCCTTGCTGCCAGCTCTGTACCCCACACGACGTTGCCAATTGGACCCCAATCTCTGCTCACCCTTTCTCCCTTGGTAATAGAAGCCTTGAATTTTAGACATCTAGCCATCCAGAATAAAGACTGCCTTTCCCAGCCTCTCCTGCAGCTGGGCATGGTCATACGGTTATGTCTGGTCCCTAGGATGGAAAGATACTGTGTGTGGCTTCTGAGACATGTCCTTCAAAGAAAGAAGCTTGTTTTTCCCACCCTGGCTGCGCTGGCTGGCATGGAGCAGCCATGTGAGACTCTGAGGCAGAGGCCAAGTGAAGGGGGCTGCAGTGAGTAGCTGGAAGAGGCTGGGTCCCTGATGCTTAGGAAGCCACCATCATACCTGGCCTGCCCCACCTGCCTTCAGAGTTTTGTATGTGAGAAGTAAACTTCTGTCTTGCTTAAACCACATTTTTTCCATTTGCTCATTTTGGAAAGCTTTTTATTTACAAAAGAAGTGAGACTACTCTAATGATGCCTCATGTACATCGAACGCAGGACTTCAGCAGCTCAATGGTTAACAACTTCCGGCCAATCTGACTTTTTTCTGTACCTGTCAATCCACTTTCCCCACTCCTAAGTTTCTTAGAAGCAAATTCCAGACATCTGTTTCACTTGTGAACATTTCAGTACCTGTATCTAAAAGACAAGGACTTTTAAAACAATACCATGATCACATCTAAATTTTTATAACAGTTTCTTAATTGTAACAAATACCCAATCACTGTTCGCAGGTCCAATTGTCTTAGAAGTGCATACCTTTAAAACTGTGTGTTTGCGTTGGGGCCCAAATAAGGTCTCATGTTATTGCAATGGATAGATCTTTAAATCACATTTATCCTAAAGGCTGTCCCTATAGAAGGACATTTTCCTCTTTCTCTTCTTTTCCCTTGAAATGTATTTGTTGAAGAAATCGGATTGTTTGTCCTTCAGTTTGCCAGAGTCTACATTTTGCTGATTGCATCCTCTGCTGTTGTTTATCACGTTCCTCTGTTCTCTCAACCTCCTGAAAATTGGCAGCTGGCTCTTCTTTTTTTTTTTACAGTTTCTTACTGTTTGTTTGAACATGTTGTACAAAAGTAGAAAAATAAACATTTCTTCTGCAGCTCCATAAATAAAGGATTAGAGGAAATAACTTAAGGCAGGGTTGGGGCTTAGTGCATAAGTAAGGTCTGGGTCCAGGTTTTCAGATATGCAGGTCTCCACTGGCAACAATTCTCAGATCCCTCATGAGGAGGCAGAAGAGGTTGAATGTGACAGAGGCCTCGAGACAGCCTTGGGACTCCTCCTTTGTGGCCTCCTGGAGCCGGCACAGCCAGTGGTGGAGGCGGTCCGGGGCTGGGATTCTGCTGTGGGCCGAGCCGGGATGCAAGCCTGAAGCTCGGAGTGGATGTGGCGCAGCGTGTGCAGCGGCTGGTCCAGGATGACCCCCGAGGACGAGTCTACCACAGCACCCAGGACCTTCAGCGTCAGGTCTAACTCTGCCTCCAAGGCCACAGGGCGCTCCCACATCTGCCGCTGCCTCAGGTCCCGGGTCCTGGGGAAGCGGTGAGAGCTGCAGCTCCAGTTCTTCAGCGAGAGCGACTCTTCTAAGGCATCCTTGGCTTTCTTGAAGCCCTCCAGCTCCCTTGGCAACAGAGATTGGAACCGGCCCATGTGGCAGCCCTTCCCGGTTGTGGTGGGCTTGGACATGGGGACAGGGCCTGCTCTGGCCAAGTCCAGCATCACAGTCACCAACACCAGGACCCAAGCTGCAGCCATGGCTAAATCCTAACTGCTTGTTTGGCCCCATGGCTCTGCTTTTAGCCAGGTTCACTGGGCAATCCCAGCTGATGTGTGTAAAGTGAAAAGGCAAATGGAAATAGGAATCTCCACTTTGATGGCAAAGGCACGAGTGTGGGGGTCCAGTCGCCGAACCAGGTGAGCCTGGACCTGTGCCAGGAAGGAAAGAGATACTGAAATTCAGTCACAGGAGAGAACTTTGCTTCTGAGAAGTCCCTGTGCCTGGAGAATCTCCAGGTTAGGACTCCCGGGGGCAGCCTTTAGCTCGCTGACTTTGGGGAGCCTCCGAATGAGGCCGAGGCAGGTGGAGGGATGGGAAAGTGGCTCGAGGACTCTCACAGTGGGGTAGGGACCTGGCGGGTGTGGGTGAGGCTGCCTGAGTGGCCGAGAAGGGGCATCCCTTGAATGTGCAGAAGTTTTAAAGTTTGCTGTGGTCCCCTTTTCTACTTTTGCTTTTGTTACCTATGCTTTTGGTGTTATATCCAAGAAATTGTTGCCAGATCCAACGTCATGAAACTTCTCTCTGTTTTCTTCTAGGAGCTTTGTAGTTTTAGGTCTTACATTTGAACCTTTGATCCGTTTTCAGTTTTGTGTATGGTGTAAGGTAAGGGTCTAACTTCGTTCTTTTGCATTTGGATATCCAGTTTTCCCAGTACCATTTGAGGAGACTGACCTTTCCCCATTGAGTGATCTTGGCTTCCCTGTTGAAGATCTTTTTTTTTTTTTTTTTTTTTTTTTTTTGTTGAAGATCTTTTGACTACATACGTGAGGGTTTATTTCTGGCCTCTCTATTCTGTTCCATTGGACCATAGGTCTATCTTTATGTCAGTACCACACTATTTTGATTACTGTAGCTTTGTATGTAATGTGTTTTTATTTTTATTTATTTATTTATGGCTGTGTTGGGTCTTCATTTCTGTGCGAGGGCTTTCTCTAGTTGCGGCGAGCGGGGGCCCCTCTTCATCGTGGTGCGCGGGCCTCTCACTGTCGCGGCCTCTCTTGTTGCGGAGCACAGGCTCCAGACGCGCAGGCTCAGCGGCCATGGCCCACAGGCCTAGGTGCTTTGCGGCATGTGGGATCTTCCCAGACCAGGGCTCGAACCCGTGGGTCCCCTGCATTGGCAGGCAGATTCTCAACCGCTGCGCCACCAGGGAAGCCCTGTATGTAATGTGTTTTGAAATCAGGAAGTGTGAGGCCTCCAACGTCGTTCTTCTTTTTCAAGATTGTTCTGGCTATTCGGGGTCCCTTGAGATCCCATATAAATTTTAGGATTTTTTTCCCATCTGTGCAAATATGCCATTGGGATTTTGATAGGGATTACATTGAGTCAGTAGATTGCTTTGGGTAGTGTGGACATTTTAATGATATTCAGTCTTCTAACTCATGAGTACAGGATGTCTTTCCATTAATTTGTCTCTTCTTTAATTTCTTTCAGCAGTGTTTTGTAGTTTTTGGTGTACAAGTCCTTCACCTCCTTGGTTAAGTTTACTCCTAAATATTTTATTCTTTTTGATGCTATTGTAAGTGGAATTGTTTTTGTAATTTTCTCTTCAGATTGTTCAGTATTCGTGTATAGAAATGCAACTGATTTTTGTGTGTTGATTTTGTATCCTGCAACTTGGCTGAATTCATTTCTTAGTTCTAACAGGTGTGTGTATGTGTGTAATCTTTAGGGTTTTCTACATAAGATCATGTCATCTGAGAACAGATATAATTTCACTTCTTTCCAGTTTGGATGCTATTGATTGATTGATTGATTGATTGATGCTTAATTGCTCTGGCTAAGACTACCAGTACTATGTTTAATAGAAGAGGCAAGAGTGGGCATCGTGGCCTCTTCTAAAGGAAAAACTCTGTCTTTCATCACTGAGTATGAAGTTAGCTGTGGTGTATGTTTTCATATGTGGCTTTTATTATGTTGAGATAGTTTCCTTCTATTCCTAGTTTGTTGAGTGTTTTTTATCATGAAAGTATGTTGAATTTTGTCAAACGCTTTTCATGCATTAATTGAGATGATCTTGTAGTCTTTGTTCTTCATCCCATTAATGTGCTATATCACATGGTAGTTGACTTTTGAGGCTTGCTCAGATGTGGGTATGATTTTTTTTGTTGTTGTAAGAATACTTCATAGATGTTATTTTCTTTCATCAGGAGGCACATGATGTCGAGTTCTCTCCCTTTCGGATATTAATAGCTGTTAAGGCTGTTACTCAGGACTTAGATCCATTATTTCATCAGAGCATGCAAAATGGAGATATTCCAATTCTAGTCTTGTTTGGCAACTGCAATACTTCTATAAAAAGAAACTTTTCTGTGGTGGTGTGACTCTATACCTGGGACAAAACTGCATGGAGCTAAACACACACACATACACACACACACACAGAGGACAGCAGGTAAAACTGCTGTAATCTGAACAAGGTCTATGCCAATGTCAGTTTCCTGGTTGTGATACTGCTTTATAGTTGTGCAAGATGTTACCCCTGGGAGAAACATGGGTACATGGGACCTTTCTGCACTATTTTTGCAACTTCCTATAAATCTATGAATTTAAAAAAAAGTTAGACAAAGAAACTTCCCTCATCTACTATTTGACTACCAGTGATATAGTTTAAGAAAAGCAGGATGGGGACTTCCCTGGTGGTCCAGTGGTTAAGACTCCGTGCTTCCACTGCAGGAGGCACAGGTCCGATCCCTGATCGGGGTACTAAGATCCCGCATGCTGCACGGCCAAAAAAAAGGTGGGGGGATAGATGCGTACTTCTTTGCCTTTATTTATTTATTTATGGCTGTGCTGGGTCTTCGCTGCGGCACGCACGGGCTTTCTCTAGTTGTGGTGAGCAGGGTCCACTCTTCGTTGCAGTGCGCGGGCTTCTCATTGTGGTGGCTTCTCTTGTTGTAGAGCATGGGCTCTAGGCACACGGGCTCAGTAGTTGTGGCTCGCAGGCTCTAGAGTGCAGGCTCAGCAGCTGCGGCGCACGGGCTTATTTGCTCTGCAGCATGTTGGATCTTCCCGGACCAGGGCTCGAACCCTTGTCCCCTGCGTTGGCAGGCGCATTCTTAACCACTGTGCCACCAGGGAAGCCCTCTTTGCCTTTATTTTTACTTAGAATAATGAATTGATGCCTTAGAATTCCCCAGCAGTGACTGATTTTTTAAAAGTATATTATTATGAACTCATTGATTTCCATATATTTTAAGTATTTCAATCAATTACATGATTACTGTTATTGAGGCTCAAATTCCTGTCTTTGTTCAGTCAGAACCTCTTCAAGCTGGCTCCTGAGTCCTGACCTGACCCTGAAACCTCTGATTGCTTCCTCTCTGTTTGGTATGACAAGGGGCTCCATGTTCATCTTTGTACATTTCCTGCCCAACTCCTGGGCTCAGATGTTTCTCCAAAGAGCCCTGGGTCCTTTTGCTGTGAAATGACATTTGGATACCAAAGTCCGAGAGCTAAGGGTGCTCACTGCCTCTGGGTTGGTCATTGTTTCCAGGTCTTTTCAGTGAGCAGAGCTAGCAATGGGTTTATATCTCTAAAAACACAAAGTACATTGTAAGTTCATACTTATACTTAAATTAAAATTCAGGACCACAGGATTTTTGCTCAACCTCATTTCTCTTTTATTCCCATGCTGAGGATCCTGGTTCTCAAGGGGTCCAGGGAAGCCACTACTAGTTTTGATTTTGTCACCATAGCTAGACCTGATCCTGAAAGGAGGGAGTCACCTGGGACAACCCTTGGAGAGCATCTCAGTTACTCACCACAGAGCGGGGAGAAGGACTAAGGCTCAGAGAGTGTGAGGAGCCTTTGCAAGTTTGCACATATGATTAACTCCTGGTTGCCCATGGCTCTGTTAGGAAATGAAATATCAGGGATACAAGTGAAGCCAGGGTAGGTGTCATGTGGTTCAAATGCAGTTCCTCACCTTCCTTCCCCTACCCCAGAGGAGCCCTGGATCCTGGGGTTGACTTTTCCAGCCTTTCTTCACACTCTGCTACACTTGGCTGCATCCCTAAGCACTACTGTTTCACAACATCATTTTGCCTGGTTTTATATGTACTTATTCATCTGCAGCTTTCTTTCTCCCCTTCTTTCAGTATTTTGAGATTTATCCATGTTGATATGTTATTCTAGTTTCATTCATTCATCCATCCATCCGTTCTTGCTGCTGTATACTGTTCCTTACATTACTGTGCCACTGCTTAATCCATTCTCCTAGTGGGAAACAGCTCGTTTCCAATAATTTGCTATTACAGATATTCTTGTAGGTGTCTCCTGAGTATGCATGACTATGTAAGAATTTCTATAGGGTGGCGTGGGCACACTTTTTCTGTAAATGGTGATAGTGAATATTTTTGGCTTTGGGAGACAAGAGGCAAATATATATATTTATATTTATATATTATTATATAGATAATATAGAACAAATAAAACAAATTTCCACGATTTTTTAATTAAAACATTCAAAACTTTATGGACATTAAACTTTGAATTTCATATAATTTTCATGTCGTGAAATACTGTTCTTTTGAATTTTTTTTTTTCAACCATTTGAACACGTTAAAATCCCAGGCTCAGCTCGCTGGTGGTACAGAACAGGAGACAGGCTGGGCTTGGGCCTCAGGCAGTGTTTGCCTCTCCTTGCTCTCTAGGGCTTAAACCGAGGAGAGGACTCGCTGGATTGAAGGGTCCCAGGCATCTTTAACTTTACTAGGCACTGCCAGGTGCTCTTCAAAGTGAATTCTATCAATTTAGACCCTCACCAGAGCATGAGGAGACTTCCTATTTCCCTAGCGTTTTTTTCTTCACTTTTAAAAAATCTTTTTAAAATTTATTTTTAAATTCTTAAAAATTTTATTGAAATATAATTGATTTACAATGTTGTGTTAGTTTGAGGTGTCCAGCAAAGTGATTCAGTTGTGTGTGTGTGTATATATATATATATATATATATATATTTTTTTTTTAGATTCTTTTCCATTATAGGTGTACTGAAGATGTTGAGTATAGTTCTGTGTGCTATACAGTAGGTTTTTGTTGCTTATCTATTTTATATATAGTAGCGTGTATATTTTACTCCCAAACTCCTAATTTATCACCCCCTTTTCCCGTTTTGGTAACCATAAGTTTGTTTTCTATGTCTGTGAGTCTATTTGTTTTGTAAATAAGTTCATTTGTATCATCCCTAGCCCTCTTGAAATCACATCAGATCTCTCCATTTAATGCATTGCTCCTCTAGTTCTAGTTTCATTTATAATCACATTTTGAAAAGTGAAGATAGCACACTGTATGTTCCTTATTATTGAATGAAAGTTCTTTTTGAATTTTATTTACTTTTTATACAGCAGGTTCTTATTAGTTATCCATTTTACACATATTAGTATATATATGTCAATCCCAATCTCCCAATTCATCCCACCACCACGAGCCCCCTGCCACTTTCCCCCCTTGGTGTCCATACGTTTGTTCTC